CTGTATACAGATAATCTCTGGATGTACACGATGAACTACAGTTATGTAACTATGATTATGAGTTCAAAGTAAAAAGATGTGCACTCTGACTGTCCAAACGATTTTTAGCTATAAACTTTACCGTAATTTTTTGTTTGTTTAGTATTAAGTAGTCAAAAAAAATAATTCATAATAGAAAAAAGTGCAAATAATTTATTTGAAGTACATAAAGCTAATTTAGTAAATATTTATCAATCGAATAGATTGATCTAAGTAGTGAAATAATAAACGTAGTTTAAAAAGTATATAATCATTGCAAATTCAAAACTGGCTTTTTGAGAGGTAATCTATAATCTTGAAAAAGATGTTTTTCGTCAAAGGCCCAAAAATAGAAAATAAAGAGGTGGTAAAAATCATACCGCTGTCATTGCGATAAAAAATAATTTTTTTTTGATTTTTCAACTTGTCTGTTGCTTTCTGCTGTTAACAATAATGGCTAAAGCAAAATGTATCTTAAATAAGTTGCTGTCGTTTTTCACCTTCTCATCTCTTAAAAAAATCCATCGCCAAGTTTATGCTGTATTACCTTTGTTCGCAGAACTAAAAACAGTAAATAAACAAAAAAAAAATTATTATATTTTCTGCGGAGACAAAAAAATTGCCTAATAAGAAATTTTCTTCCAAATTCTCCTAAACTTTCACTGAATCAGAATCACGAATTATATGCCTTTTTTTTTAGGAATTATATGTCATGCTTGCTAATGTTAATCGAATAAAAAAAGGCATTTAATTTTAAACAGCTTTTTATCACAGATGGTGAACATCAATATGCAACTAAATTTTAATATTACTTTGTTTTAAAATAGAATATAAAGAAAAAAATTAATAAAAATTTGGATTCTACTGAAAGTGTCAGAAAGAGAATTAAAAATTATTCAAAAAATACTTTGAAAAAAACCACAGCTAAAGAAATTTATTTAGATTAAACATTTATAAACACATCACTTGTCAGGAGGTGTCTGAATATTAAAAAAAAAAAGAAATGTTCTTTTCTCAATTTAAAAAACTTCACATTTTTTTCTTTAGCAGCTGATTTTACTAACTTTTAATAAACTTTAAATTAAATAATTAGCAACTCTGACTGTAGAATAATTTATCTATGTATGCAACAGCAGTTTGAATTTTGTTTTTTCGACGGTTTCTGATAGCAAATACAGACGGCTTCGTATAATACTTACCTGAAAATTATTGTGCTGCAAATTTAAATAATTCACTGAGCGGAAATTTCTTCGCGATACCAAACCAAAGGTGGAGAGAAAATTATTGGATAAGTCCAAATGTCTGCAAAAAAAAAGGAAGGAGAGAGTGATTTGTATTTTTTTCAAGAGTTCAGTTTAGTTTTTGTTTCTTTATTTATCTGCTTAGTTATAGCGACAATAAAAATTTCATCTCGCGTGACTATAGAGACAAAAAATTGTAATTAGCAAGCAGTATCTGTTGATTCTTACTGTTTTCTGAAAAACCATTATGACTTTCCAGTCAAAGAAGAAGCTTTGTTTAGATGCTTTTTAACATCAGTAATTTACTGCTTTTTAGAATGCTATACTAATTACTTAGTGTAAGATAAAAAAAATTTTATAAACAGAAGAAAAAAATTTTTTTTTGGTTTACATTTATTGTTGACTTTTAGTGTTTGATAAAGGTGGCACGACCCACTTAAAACTTTAAAATTTCGCTCGTACTTTTTTTTTAATGTTCGTTGGCTCATGAAGAAAGTCAATGGAGATAGATGTTTTTCCAAAACTAAAACTGCTTTTAGATTGATTTATTGTCAACGTTTGATTGAATGCTAACTTGTTCCACACTAATCCCAACTTTCATTTTCTTTTTTTTCAAATAGACATTTATTTTTTCTTTCTCTGAAAAAATTTCTAGACTTTTAACCTTATCCAGCATGAAACTAATTCGTCAACAAAAAAGTAAGGGCATCAAACTGACTGTAAGTTTTCTAAATATGGAAACGAAGAGAGATCCGTTAGTGTGCTGTTGGTTATCGATAAGACTTGAATAAAGTTCAAATGTTCTGGTACAAATTTTGTCTTCAACAGATCAGGCCAGCTGCATACTACGGAACAGGACACTGTTAAGTTGTGTTCTGCAATACAATTTCATACAATAAACTGCGTATTTATAGATTATGTACCTCTTTGGAGAATCAGTGAAACTAAAGAATAGCCTTGTAATTACGTTTACGGCACGGAGCGGTCCCAAGGCGTCTGACAATCAATCATCTTTGAACTTAGATCATTGACTGATGTTGGTTGGCTTCCCCAAACGCAGCTCAAGTTTTTTTTTTTTTTTTTTTTTTTGGCAGACAAGTAGACATTTTAAAATAATTATTTAAATGTGCAGTCAAACGTCTTCAAAATTGCCAAGTTGCGATACGGCAGACAATCGTAAACCTATCACTGGATCAATTTAACCACTTATAATCAACTAGTGACTCTTATTAGCTGAACTACTGTGTGTAGCTATGTTTAACTATAAATTCACAGCAATAAGTGATAATAGTTTACCTCTGCCATTCAACCTTTGATTGCACTCAGTAATACTAAAATAAAGGCAGTCTTGTTTTTTAAATTTTGTTTATTTTAAGTATTGTGAACACTTTAAAGAAATTAAAACGACTGCTTATCGTTTCATTTCTTATCGTCATTACTGTAAAGACTCAGCTTTATTTAAATCGTAAATAACAAAAACTTAGATAGCAGAACATGCAATCAACAGTTCATCCAAATAAAACAATCATCTAATTTGCTAACTTTACTTCTTTCCAGAACATTTATTATTTGTCTGCAATAAAAGCTGAAATTATTGCGAAAGCAGACAAAAATGGCATAAAATTTTGATGTAGATAATATTATAAAAGACATCATTAAAAAAATATTCCTGAAATCTATTTGATTTTCACTTTTTTTCATCTCTTTCATCGTTTTTTTCCCATTTTTTATTTAAAATATTTTTGCAAGCAAGTGGCATAAAAAACCAAATTTTTCTGTAAATACATGTAGTTTCACAGCTGTAGACTCTATATTCTTAATTGCAAGTGGTATTAAAGTTGTGTTGAGGTGAATTTTGCGAGAAAAAAACGCAAATAAATAGTAGTGAACAAAATAAACTTAACTGAAGCATTATTTGCTTCATGTATATATTTAAACGAAAAAAAATAAGTTAAATAAATAAGTAGAGTAAAAAGCTGACATAAAGCATGAGATGGAGTTATGAAATGTGTAAAAAATACAGTCTTTTGAACGGCTATAATTTTTGCTATAAATTGTTGGATACACTCTATCTTTTTTTTCTATAAAGAATACCGCAAAGAAATGGCGGTTTAAAAAGACTTGCCAAAATTAGCAATTTTTAAACTTTTTTGCTGAAACCGATTGCTTAGACGTCGACGAGAAGAAAAAAAAAAAAA